GTACAGCAGTCAAGGTCAGTGCAAGGATGGCCCTTTCTAGGAACTCCCTCTGCATGTCATATGCTGGGAGTCAAATAATCTGAATCTTTCCAATATTTTATAGTGGCAAACATCATTTCTTGTTTCTGGACTAGCTTATCACGACAGTCTTTGAGAATGGGTATTTTATTTGGCCCTCTTTCTCCCACTGTGGATGCTGTTCAGTATTTCCTGAGTACCCAAGCATTCCATACACACACTGTCGACTCTCAGGTTCAAAGTGATCTCGTGTAGATAAGGAGAGAGATAATAGACTTAAGTTACGGAACTGAAGAAGATAAATATTGAGGCCCATACGTGGATTTTGCTTCCACACTAATGTAAATCAGGATCAGAAACGTCGTTTAAAAAAAAAAAAAATCACACAAACATAAGAGTTTTGTAGGTGTGCGATGGGACCAAGAAGTGTCACTTCTTAGATTGGTAAATGGTATTTTTAAAATGTGTATTTCAGGGTGTTGTAACTCCCCAGGAATTCGGTTTCCATCAGTGACTGAGGATTAAAAGAACCCGTGAGTTTTATGTGAATTACCCTCCTATGATTTTTCCACTACTTAATTGATGGGCACAGAGATATCCCAGGGCAGGGAATGAGTTGACCTTGTCCAATGTGACAGTTCTCACCTGTGGTTTGAAACCTTCTGTTGTGAAGGATCCTGTTCCCAGTAGTTGTAGCTTCAGTCAAAATGTTCAGAAAGCAACGCACAACACCGTGTTTCCCTTGGTTTTCCCATCTCGGTTTCGTGGCCTCCAGAAATCTTGCACTGAAGTGAGCACGTGACTCCAGTGATGGGTGTTCAGGGTGTTAATTCCCAGGCAGGCAGGCAGGCTTGTACAACCACCACATGGTCCAGAGATGAGGCTCCCCAGCCCTCCCTGTTTTAGAAAAAAGAACCCCAAACGTGCAGTGAAATATCCCTTTCTAAGCTTGGGAAGTCCTTCTGTGTTGCCCTCCTTGCCTTCCCCACTGCTGACTCGCTGGCCACAGTGCTTTTCCCAGCTGTGCAATGAACTGTCTGTCTCGAACCTTCTGTGGTGTTTTTGTGAAGCCAGTGCACCAACAAAATCCCGATAAATGCCCAAGGAACCCTGTGGATCACAGCAGTGGCCGAGCTTTCCCAATGCCCTGCTTAAACAAAGGTCAGCAGCGAGGTCTTCAGAGGGAGTGCTGCAGTGACAGCCACGTAACACAGTTGTTGGAGTTGCAGGTGTAAAATAGCTGTGATTACCAGATCATGGCACTCAAGTGCCACATCCAGCCCCATCTTAAAAACCTCCAGGGATGGTGAATCCACCCCCTCTCTGGGCAGGCCATTCCAATGCCTGATCACTCTCTCTGTAAAAAGAACTTCTTTCTGATACCCAACCTAAAACTCCCCTGGCAGAGGGGAGGTTATTATACCCCATCTGAGGTATAATGATTCCGCTTCTAAATTCTTCACCAGAATCTGCCTCCTGTGCTGCCCAGCTATCTATGGATAAAATTCTTATTATACACAAAAATCTCAGTACAATTTATTAAATGATTAGTCATTTATGTCTTAGTATCATCCTCTGGTTTTACCTGATAGTATCTTCCCACAGCCTGTTCTATTCTCTCTTCCCCCATATTAGCAGTGACCTCAGTGAAGAAACACTCTTTGAGCATGTGGTTCAGGTAGTTATTTGCTTCATTGGTATTTGCTAGTTTGAAATGTTTTGGAGTGCTTATATAATAATGCAACTCTGTCGTGGCGTTTTCAGTGACAACATTGATTTCCTCAAGCTGCCTTTCCAAAACACTTAAGTGCATCAATATGGTTGTCTGTATAATTTTAGTTTAATTAGAACAGTGGCTGTACTCATTATGGGAGAAGCACCAGCTTTCCCGCTGTCTCCTTTCCCCTTCCCTCTGTGATGCACCCTTGCACCTCCAAGCTTGGTTTTTATTTACTTAAAGAAGGATTGAGACATGAGAGGGTAACCATCAGCTGCCCCTGGCCCAGGAGGACAGGCTGAGGGAAGGACTCAGGGAGGAACTGAACCTCCCAGAATTGCTGAGGTTCCAGAGACGATCTCTGCTCTCTGTGTGCAGGAAATGAGATGTTCATCTTCTCCCAGTGCTGCTTTGCAAAAGGTCCATTCCAGAGAGCTGTGTTTGTTTCAGTTTCTCTAATTACTGATAGTGTGCTGATTATGCTGCTATAGATTTGACGTGAATTGCTCTATTAAGGGGATAAAAAATGAGATGTCTGCCGTGGAAATTATGAAGATGACAGTGGCTGGGGGAAAGAAGTGGAGAGCTTAATGCATGATGTGGTACTGCAGGGCTGTAGTTTGCTTTTTCTGGAGCCTAAGCCTTTGTCCCTGGCAGAAGGTGGAGTATGCAAGCTCTAACATTGACCAAAGTCCCCAAATGTGCCATACAGTGTATTAGGGGCTCTGATTTCCCTCCTGCTTCTTGTTAGGCCCTCTAAGTCATCTCATAATGGCCTTTTGGACTTCCATATCCAGCTCTAGTGTTGCATGCTGGTGAACACTGCGTGTGTCTTCCTTCCCTTTCTGCTTCCCCTCACATGCTTCCCTAATGATTAACTGATTTGACTCTGCTGTTGTCCCCGGTGCTGCTCTGGGGCTGGCTTGCTGGCACTGCCCTGCTCAGTGCCTGGATGTTCAGGGACTTCTGAATCTCTCCTGCAAACCCCTCATTTCCTCCCAACAACCCTTTTCTCTCTTTCTCCTCCTCTACCCTACTCAAGACACGCCGGGAAGGACCCACAGCAGGAAAACCAGACCCCACCCAGCTCCCACCCAGCATCCTGGGGGGCAAATGTGTCAGCTTTCACTCCTGGTTAATTTGTGCCTGTGTAGTGTCATCACGTGCAGTGTAGGAGTAAGCTGGCCCCAAGGAGGGCCTCCCTAAAAGTTGACTTAATGCATCTGTTCAGGTGTCGTAGTCAAGGTGAAATTTCTTGGTGAAACTTTCCCGACACTGCGAGCCGAAGAAACCGAATAAATAAAAATAATGAAACCGAATCAATGAAAATGATGATGGCAATCAATATGCAAGCTGTTTTATCCACTTCTCTGTGGCTATTGACAAAATACTAGGGAGCTGCTGTTTTGAAATTGCTGGTTGGTTGGGGCTGAGCATTTGGTCACTTGTAGGTTTAAATGTCTGTAAATTGCTTTGATGTTTAGGCAAAAGGTGCTGGGAAAAAAAAATGCAAGATTAGTAAAAGAGGGCGTTTCAAAGGCACTAATAGAAGTTGGAGAGCTGACTCCCCTTTGTGCCTTGTGAAATGTGTTCTGCAAATACTACTAACTCACATTACTGGGAACATCCAAGGTGTGTGGAAAAAGTAAGCATTTCCATATCTTGGGTTTTTGACTGTCCTGTTCCTTAGAACAGTAGGAAACGATCTGATGTATTTTTTTATAACAGTAAATCTCAGTGAAGCTGCCACGGTATAAATCAAGGTATGGGCTTTTAGGAGGTTGATCAGTAAAGGCAGCAGGTACTGGAAGCGTAAAACCCCAACTTGATCCAGCACCTCCTGGATGCTGAGGGAAGGGCACGAATTCTAGGTTTAATTTCATTTTTTGTTTTCACTTTCCACCTGCTGTTGGCCCTTTGAAGCCAATTAGCCTGTCTTTGAAGCGATGATTCATTATTTCTGTGAGCATAAAATGAGCTGAATACAGGGCTATATCCTGCAGGGTGCTGGTGCTGTGCTCTCAGGTCAGAAGGATCATCAGATTGAACAATTTCTGGTTAAAAAGTACTGAGCTGAAAGCCACAGAGGCTGTCCTGTAAATGCTCAGAAATTAAGGTGGCTTCTTCTGCTCCTGTGCGTGGGGGGATGTAAATCCATACCCTTTGCACTGCTGTTGTTAAATTTCAGTAGCTTGGTTTTGGGGAATAACGTGAATTGCCTTTCAGGGATCACATGATAATTTTGTTTAATGTTCCTGTAAAATTGTGACTGTATTTATTTACAAAGGGTATAATTTGTGCTGTGATTGGAGTACAGGCTTACAATATGGAAGACTTTTCCCATCAGATCTCATGAAGTTTCAGTCTTAGATTTCTTGACTGGCGCTTTTGTAAATAAAAACCTGTGATAATTATGAAACTAATGCCACATTCACAAATTGCCCTTTAACTCTGTTTGACCCTGAGATTAGTTCAGTTGTAAAATCCTGATGGTGATAATGCCAAGGTCATGGTTTGAATCCCCTGTATGGGCCGTTCACTTAAGAGCTGGACTTGACGATGCTTGTGGGTCCCTTCCAACTGCGAATATTCTGTGACATTTGCTCCTGTGGCTGTCCTTGCAGAGCTGCCCTCTGTATGCCAGCTTGACTTGCAACTTACTTGGTTGCCAGTCAAATTACTTCAAAGAAGATAATAGTGACTACTTTAGGCCAAACCAGAAGTATTACATCACTTGATGTATTTTGTAGTGATATCTTTTTCTGCAGCAAAGACAAAAGTAATTGATGAATGTCTTTAAAATGCTAGGAAGGAATACTGTTAAATGCGTAACAAACTCGTTTAGTTCATAACTGATTTGTTAGTGTAAGATGAGGTGGTTTTGGCGCTTCAGGGGTATCGTGGAGTTGCTGTCTGGTTTTCACTGACATAAAACCCTCGGAGTCTCCCCTCTTATGGGTCACTTCCCTTTCCCGCCTTGGCAGATTTCCGAGAAGCACCTTGGAAACTTCCTGGACCTTTTGAAAATCAGAGCCGTGGCCCCAGAAGCTGTTTGGCCCCTGGCTGAAGGCCTGGGCAGCACACAGCCTGTGTGCTGTGCTCTGTGGTTCCCTGGGCAGCCCGGTGCATCCCTGGTGCTGCTCACCATCCCCTTCCTTCCTTCCTTCCACCCATTCCTCCCTCCTCTGCCTTGCTTTCACACCTCCATTCCAAAGTTCACGTTGTTCTCTCTCTCTCTCCCCCCACCCCTTTTTCTTTTTAACAGCAGGAGAGAATTTCGTACACCCCTCCAGTGAGCCCGGCACAGAGTTACACCTCGACCCCACTCCATGTGCCAGTGCCTCAAGCCATCAGGATGGAGGAGGATGGGATCAGACTGCCAGCACACCTGCGTGAGTGTCAGCACTGAGGCTCTGCAGCTCTTGGAGAGGGGGCAGGGCGGGCAGAGGAGTTATTTCTGGGTTTGTGGAAGACAGCAGGGAAGTCCCTGTCTTTATACTTGTTTTTTTTTTCTTTCTAAGCTCTAGCTGGTTTGGTTTTCCTAGCTACTGTCTTTAGCTAAAGGGAATTACTCTTAAATCCAGTACATTGTATCTCCCCCTCTCCTCCCCTTGCCAAGCGCTTGGCCTGTCATTTCTCAGCACAGGCACGGGTATGGAGGGTTTATTTTGACAGGCAGTGCTGTGTTGCTTCCACTTTGGAGGAATTGCTTGGTTATGTGCTGCAACACAAGGTCAGCTTCACAAGCTGTGGCGAGTGGAACATGTTTGTGCTGTGGGTATTTTTTAGGTTGCCAGGGTTCCCAAATACTCGTGGTGCCCAGAGCCTCTGGTACAGAGCATGAGGGCTGACAGAGGCAGTGGGAAAGGAGGAAGAATGAGCTTAGCTGAGCACAGAAGGATGCTGCAAAGGAGGAAGGACATATAATTCACACTGAAACAAAAAACTGGAGCTGGGGGCAAGGTGAGAGCCACGTACTTCCTTGCTGAGATGATTTAATGTTTGAGAAATAGTAAAGGCCAAGGACTGTTGGCAAGTGAGAGGTGAATTAGGGAGATAGGACGTGGACAAGAAGAGTGGAATTTTCCTGTTTGGAGGAGAGGCAGTTCTAATGCAAATAGAAATGTTTTAAGTAAACTTTTTCTCAGGTGTTACATTCCTGGGTTACTCGAGCAGTAGTGAGCAGGAGGACCAGGAGCAAGCCAAACTTTGTGTTTTGCCAACTGGGAAATGGGTTTGGGATTTCAGGGGGGCAGGGAAGTAAAGTCCATGTTTATCACAAGACATTCTCATTGCTGTGTGCTGTCTTACACACACAAACACACACACACTCTCTTTTTCTGGATGAGAACTGTGTTTCAAGCATTTCTGTAAGCTGTGCTCACTCCCTTGCTGGCCACCGAGTTACTCTGCCCCGAGATCATTTGTTACCAGTGCTGCATCCTGCATGGTCCTGCACAGCCCTGGTTATACCTTTGCTCACAGGAATGGGACATTTCTGACCCTGTCTGGCTGGTCACTGCCTGAGTATCCGTGAGCTCCCAGGCCTGGCTTGTCTGGCACATCCATGTGGCTGCTGAGCTGTTTCTCTAGGCCAGGGAGGACTTAAAGCCACACTGACAGGGCATTTCTATGCTTTGCCCAAAACTTAAACACAGAACACCCCCAACACAGAAACGGTTCTCCAGCAGCTCTTTTCCCCACAGGTGCTGTTAATTCCCGGATCTTTTCCTCACTGCACTGGTTGTTACTGGTTACTTCTGCTGTGGGAGCCCCTGTCTGTCCTCTCCCCAGCTCTGATCACAGCTGGCTTTTTGCTCTCCCTGCTGTGTCTGGCAGATGTGTAAGGCAGGAAGGCAGAGACCCCTGATACTGAAAGTGGTGGTTGTTTTACCTACTTCCCTCACATCAGCTAGCCAGCACGTTAGGTAATGTAGAGCTCATAAGGCTTCATCTCAGCGAAGACTTTTTATGCAGTATTTTTAGGTGTGCTATTTTTTTCACCGTGATTTTTGTTTTGGTTTTCCTGTTCTTTTAGGGTTGGCACATTTTTAAAAACTTGCAAGGCTTCTTTCTCATTAGTGTTTCCACACCAGTCTGACTTGTTGCAGGGTAAAAGCACAGATGATTAATCATGAAATATCTGTGAAATGGCCTTCTATACAGTTAGTGTCTGAGACCATAAACAACAGGGAACACATTTACATACCCTTACTAGTTGTAGTCTGTGGCAATGTAGTATTTTGCAGCTCAGTATGCAGTCAGTATTGACACAGACCATTGTCATCAACCAACAGAGCCAAACACTACTAAAACCACTGGTTTTAAAGTACACAGATTCATAGCTAGGCCAGCAGCGACCATTCTGAATTCCTAAAAATGATCTCCAGCATAACTTCAGTTACAGAACTTCGTGCAGGAGCTGCTGTGTTTGGGTCCAGTCACTGAGCTACAACAGGTGCAGAAAGATTCCTGCTCTTTATGTAAAAGACTTAAGCGATGGGGAGGATATAAGGTCTCTAGATGTTCTTTCAACGCTTAATTATCCTCCTTATTTGCTTTTTTTAAGTGCCCTATTTATAGTTTGAATTAGTCAAGCTTCAGTTTCCAACTATTAGACCTCATTATCTCCTTTCCTGCTAAATATTATCAAAAGACTACTGCTGATATAGGTGCTTTTAGATAGTCACTTCTTAACCTTTTCTCGGCTAAACTGGGTAGGAAGAGAGGTTTTTAAAGCTGTCAGTCTTCCAGTTGAGCTTCCAGATTTTAAATTCTGTTTGCATCATCCCTGTGAACCATTTTCCACTTCAGACATCCTTCTTAGAGGATGATATTCCAGCAGTAGCGTTCCTGATACCATATGTAGAAAGAACGAGTAGAAAAATTTCCTGTGGCGCAGTAAATTACTTCTCATTGTTTGGTGGGAGCAAATGGGTCTCAGGTATGCTGAGCTGATTTTATCCAGAGGCTGGGAAATGGAGAAGTGCAGAATTTAGAAGAGTAGAGTGCAGATCCCTCTTTTACTACAGCCTTGCACAGGAGGACTCCTCCTTGGCCAACACAGCCAAATATTTGCATACCCCTTATCTCTGAGGATGCACTTAATATTGCCACAGAGAGGGCTGGTGGGTTTTTTGATGGGGTTTGTATTTTTTGTTTTTGCTCTGTTTTTATTAAAGCAAATCTCTTTGCCTCATCTGGTAAAATGTCATTAGTTGCTTATTTTCTGCCACAGCCAATGCCTTGTAGCAAAAAGTCCTTGGAACTCCACAGAGGATACAGCATTTAAGAGGTGGATATGAGAACCCTTCCCTGTGTCTATTAATACTCTCAGAATCAGAGAGAAAATAGCTTTTTCCTTTTTTGTAATACACAAGATTAAAATAAGGTGGTTTGCCTTCTGTAACAGCAACTGTAAATATGTGCTAGAGGCTCCGTGGTTTTCTTTTGTCACCTTCAACAACAAACTTCCACAAGAGATGCAAAAGAAATGTCAGTGCTAAGAAAGGGCACATTGCATGCTCAGATTCTGTGCAGAGCGTTCCCCCTTGCACGTTTTTGCTGATTTGTATGTTTGATTTGTATCAGAAGGACAGAAGGGAAATTTGTTTAGTTTTCTGCCATAATTATATTAAAGGCTTTAAGCTTTCAGTGAGTGTTTCATAGGACTCTTTCTACATGTCTATTTGTAGTAGCATTTGATACTCTGATTTGGTGGGAACTGTACTGCTTTGGCATCTTTGTGACCCTCTCTGTACTACACACTGAAAAAAAGTTGTCTGTCCCAAGTGGGGACGTGAGTAGTAGTGGGGTTTGTGTTTTAAGAGCACCACTTGTTTCTTCTTCTTCTTCTTCTTCTTCTTCTTCTTCTTAAAAGAATGCAGGAAACAGGAGGAAGGGGAAGCAACAACTCTCTCAGGTTTGCCAAGGATCCATTTTTCTCCTGTAAAGTGTCTATAAATTACGCTACTCCCTTTATTAATCCTTTGTCACCTGTTGATTATTCTACTGTTTTGGTTAGCAGATGGAGAACTACTTTGAAGCATTAGACATATTGTTATTTAGTAGCTAGAATATTCAGTGCACTGAGCTGAAAGTATGTAGTGAGATGGGAAAAAAAGCCCTTCACCCTAAGCCACATTTAGAGCAGAAAGCAATAAAAATGTTTGCTTTGGAAGGATCTTTCTGGAACAGAACTGACTGACGCACATACTGGGAAAATAAAATAAAGCTTCGTATGACAAAGGTTCTGAGAGGTGGCCAGAATGTCAAATTAGTGACTCTGAGAATAATCCTGGTCCCACTGAAATGAGTGCTTAAATCCCCACTGAGTTTAGAGGGACCTGGACTGGGCTCTTTCTGAAATGCTTGGCTTCTTCCAGACCCCTCTTTGCTCTTCTCTGACATTATGACACTTGAGCCTCATTCCTCCCTCTTAATATTGCTTGCCTTTCCTCCTAATCTGCTTTTCACCTTGGACATCCTTCTCCTTCTGGGTAGCTATTCCTCTGCTAATCAATACCAACCCACTACTAAAAAAAAAATATAAATTATTAGGTGATTATACAAACAGGGAACTTTGGATAGGTGGGAAGCCCAGTCTTAGAGTCACTCTTGTACCATGGCTGGGAACAATATAGAGGCAGTTTTTTCATCTGGAATATATTGAACTGGGCAGAGTAAAACCCCCTCACTGATCCAGCTGGGAAAGCTGTGGCCTTTGGATGGTGAAGATGCTGCTTTGCACATCTCTGGCACGGTCTTTGTTCATCACCTGTAGGAAACCAAGCCCCTTGTCCCTGGGGTTGCACTGGAATGACACAGGGCCGCTTCACTTGCCATCTTTGATGTAAATTTAGCTGGCGAGTTGAACCCTAAATCTGTTAGCTGTCTGGTCACTGTGGCAGAAGCATCCAGGTGAAGTGTGAAAAAAACTTGTGAAGGGAGCTCACTGGATGGTTTCTGTTTCTTGGGAGATTATTCTAGAGCCGAGTGCTTGTTATTTTTTAATGTGCCTGGTTGTTGCCCAGGGTTTTAAGAGCAGTTTCCTGCACCGACAGTCCTAGTGGAAGCATGTGGAGGGACAGGATCCTTCCTGCCTCGGTGGGAACTTGGAAAACAGTCCTGAGGTGGGCGGTCAGGAGAGCTGTGCTGCAGGGTACAGAGAGCTGGCAGTGTGGGAGTCCCAGTGGTGCTAAGCCAGCCTTTTCCCCTTCTGGAAAGCTTCACTTCGGGGTTTTAAATCTCCAAAACACACACACACTCACCTTTATTGAGAGGGGAAAGGGGGCAATGTCGCTTTAATCTGGGATTCAAGCTTGTTGCCTGGTGGAATTCCCCTGGAAAGCGTGGAGAGGAATAAGAAGCAAAAACATCGGGACATTTATGG